CTTTTACATTGAAAATCAAGCACAACATCATATGTTAACATATTTATTATTTTTTATAATATGCTGTTTTAAAGTGAAACATTGCATTACTTATGATTGATAGCTATATAATCTTAAATTTATCATTTGATTAATTTTTAAGTAGATTAAAATTATTCAATTTATAGGACTTTTTTTAAGCTTGGAAAATTTTACGGGAAAAATCTTAAATTTATCATTTGATTACTTTTTAAGTAGATTAAAATTATTCAATTTAGAGCCCGTTTGGTAGCACGAAAATCGGCTGTTTTGGCTGTTTCTGCTGAAATTTATGAAGTTCTGGCTGAAGTGGCTGTTTTGGCTGATTCTGCTGATTCTAGAAAAAAATATTTTAAAAATATATTTTATTAATAAAATAAAGAAAAAATTACATGTAAAAATAGCTAAAATGGTCATCTACAGTAACTTCAGCCAATACAGTCAGAAAAGTAACTCCAACCTTACTTTTTCTGCTTATTACACAATTCAGCACGCGAAAGTAAAAATTACGTGTTTGGTGAAAAAGCTGGCTGATAAGCCTGATAAGCCGAAAAAAGAGGTCTCCAAACGGGTTCTTACTTTTTGTGTATTTATTCAGTTTTCTTCCGATTCCTCTCTAGTGATATCCTAGCTCCGCCTGACTGGCTGACCATGAAGATATTACAATAGAGAAACTTACATAGTTATATCCGAATCATTCCATTCAAATGAATGCATTCAAATGAATGCCAGCGAACTTGATAGATCATGAACAAACTTTAAGAATTACCTTCGATGAAAAAAGTACATTTATAATTATTGACTGCAAGTATAATACACCCTCATATCTCAACTCAACTCGTTTTTAATAATCTATTCTATTGCATCTGTAGACCATATAATTAAACACTACCTCCGTCCCAGGGACAAGTTCTCACTTTCCTTTTTTGGCAGTCCCAACAAAAAGTTCTCATTTCCCTAAATGGAAAGTTATCCTACATCAAAACAGTGCCAAACAGTGCAAAACAGTGCCAAACAGTGTCGAAACAGTGCCAAACAATAAAATTTACCCCTCAGTAACTTTATTTCCTTAATATGTGTTAAAGTCAACCCGGGAACTTCTCCCTGGGATGGAGGGAGTAACACCTAACATATACGGAGTATAAATAATGTGATCTCTGTGAAATGTCAGATTTATGATATAATGGTTTGAAAAGATATGAAAATAACTTGGAATAACAGATCATCAACCGATCAGGGACCAGTGAATGAAGATGAGGTGCAAAAGTTGGATTATTCATGAATAACGAAAAAGTGGAACTATTGTAAAAAGACCGCTAAAAGTTAGATTATTAGTTTCTATTTTCCCAATGTAAAATTGAACTATGACCCAAAACTCACCAGCTCAATACAGATATGATAAAAACAAATAATACATATATTCTATAATTCGGAGTAATTGAATCATTAAAAGTGTTGGAAAGTACCATATTGGTCGTATGTTTGAGATTATTTTGGTCTATTTCCATACAGAAACAGGACATGTGTTGAATGCCATTAAATGAGTTGCCAGTTACCTGCTATGATAGGGCTAAGTTGTATCCAATGTAGTCTTTACTGCGCTAGCTGTCTCTCAGCTCATCAACCGTTGAGTTGAAAATGGGTAGCTTTAAAAAGTTTTTTTTTTCCTAAAAAAAAAATCATAAGAAAGTCCCGGAAGAGTTGGGGATATGATAATTCTCATCCAGATTTATTGAATTGCGGAAGTGAAAGAAAGGAATGTATTGAGAGGAAGATTTTTTACTCTTGGATCAAAACCTATTTAATATCGAATTGCGGTGGTTTTAAATTCAAATTTCATACAATGATGGTAGATAATAAATAGAGATAGATAATTAATAGATAGATTTTCCAAAATAGGACTAAATAGAGTTTGAGAGAGATTTGGTGGTATGTTACGTTTTTCTCCCGAAATAGGACTATAACGATAGTACTATCAACATCAATGTATTCAACATGACAGTATTTATTATAATTAATATACCGTCCCGCTAATATTATCCCAGTTTCTATTCACTTGGTCGACGCAAATCACTCTTAATATCTTACTTTGTATATCAAATTTTTATCAAATTTTATTCTGCATTTTACGACTTTGTAAAGATGTTAATTTAGTTTCTGAGAATGTAATTTTTTATAAAAATAATTGAACGCGGATAGAGATCCGTTTGCTTTATCGTCGGTCAAGCATCGTAAACCGCAATGAGACAATAATAGTGGAACGGAGGTAGTAGCATTATTTTTCAACCATGACAGTATTTTCCAATCATAAAAGTATTTTCCACACATGACAGTCATATAAGGTCATGTACTCAATAAAGTGTCATATAAGTACCTCTACATGTAAAAAATAATCAAATGAGTCCTAACGATCTATTTACAACCTCCTAATCCCGGTTTTAGCTTACATGTCGATTTTTTGACTTGTATCTCAACCAATCTTAGTTAAATATTCGACGTATGCGGTATACTCTATTCTAAAAAGATGGTCACAAGTACGCTAAAACAGGGATTAAGAGGTGTTAAATAGGTCATTAGGACCTATTTGATTGCTTTTTACAAGTAGAGCTACTTATATGACATTTTATTGAGTTTGTGGCCTTATGTGACTATTTCATAGTAGTAGAAAGCATTATTTGACCCTTTTCTCCTTAGAAAATAATAAACTTTGTACATGGCATGATCGAGTGATATAGTAATTAATAAAATTAATTGCATGCACAATTCTCTTTCTAAATATAATGGATCATTTTCTTCAAACAACTCACAAACAAGTAAAATGTTTACTTCAGAACAGAGGGATGAATTAAAATATATATGGTGCATTATATTTCTTCTAACAATAATGGTATGTGGAAAGAGTGAGTTAACGAAGAGCTCGTGAATTGATAAAGGGGTTGTTTGGGTATTAATATAACAGGGTTTAATACACCAAACCCCCATGTGATTTGGAAATTCGGCGCATTAGCCCCCTGTGATTTAAAAAATGCGTCAAACACACTTGTGTTTTAATTAATCATGCACAGAACCCCCTTTATGAATAAATTTAACGATTTGAAAATCATTTTTCCTAATATTTTGATTGAATATGCAAATAAATATGTCAAAATCTCTGAATCATACAAAAATGTTAATCATTTTTCTGACAATTGAATTTATTCACATAAAGGATTTGGCGCATGATTAATTAAAACACAGGAGGGTTTGACACATTTTTTAAATCACAAGAAGCTAATGCGCAGAATTTCCAAATCAACTAAAACGTTAAACCCTAATATAACATTTCAGTCAAAACGTTAAATTTTTAACAACTAAAACGCTGCAATAAGCAACGCCTCTGTTCGGAAGTTGGCGTGTAAGGTCAAAACGTCATTTTTTTTTACAAATGGAAACGCTGGAATTTCGAGTGGGTTGGCTTCAAAATGCCAAAAGACAAACGGGGCCAACATGTTGAAATTCAAAATGCTGAATATCAAACTAATCCAAAACTATACGGAGTATCACATTAAACTTGAATTTCTTTTATCTTTAATTACATTGAACTATTTATAATAACCCTCCTGATATCATACGGATCGGAGTAGATACATTGCTGAGCTAGAATAAAATTAAGGGATGAGATGTACGCTGTCTCCTAATTATATTGTCTCCTACATTAAATAGAGATCATGGGAAAGAGTTTAATTTAGAGATAGTTGAAGACTTGAAGATGTTAGTCATGTTACATTGTTACCCAAATAAAATAATACGGAGTAAATTACTTAACTATATACGAAGTATGGTCTAAAATAATACTCCGCTACATGAACGGTGCAAATCTTGGATACAACTATAGAAGAGTTTAAAACATTATTTTGAGCAAGTGAATTGGTAAGCATGTCAACTAGATGATCATAAACAAAATTAAAGTATCATAACTGAGAGCTCTATTATACCCTCGATCATATGTGTTAAAAATTTGTCTCACACCAGAAAACAATAAAACAATATATAAGATTTTGAATTACTCCTCCTATCAAGTGACATTTTAAGATGAAATTACAAATTTTAACATGGTTTGACGGCTTGTTTAGCATCCATGATTAACAATTGTGGTTTGATGGCATGTTTATACGGAGCAAGAAAATTCAGAAACACACACTCACATATGCCTCGTCATGCCCTTAAATAAATTGAAATGAATAAGCTAAGAGAAATTGATTGGAATGTGACCAAAAAGTGACGGTGATTTCTAATATATGACCAACTAGTTTTTTATTCCCGAATAATGTATGGCGTCTTTTATGTATCATACTTACTTTGATGCTACTTTCTCCCTTCAATTGAATGATTACTTATATAAATTAAAGACATATGGAGTATTTAATAAGTTTGATAGTAATATATTAGGAATCCGTAAATATTTTAGTCATATATAGATAAGTTTCTCAATTAATAATTGTTGTTGTCTCATTCTAGATCTCTAAAATAATTAAACATAATTAAGATTCTGAACTACTCCTTCTATCACGACCTTTTAAGATTACCCCAAATCTTAACATAATACATTTTGATAGAAATTAAAATTTGTTGGATGTAAAGTCCTCAATCTCATTTCTTGTCATTGCGACATTTTGTGCTACTTTTTACATCCTGGCCTTCAACTTCACCTAGTTTAGGTTTGGTATATTTTAAATTTTTCTAGTATCCCACTTCCCGCCCTCCTCATAAGCCAAGCATGGTTGGTCGAAAGGAAGTGTAAGCCTAAAATTAATGACCTTAATTTCTGTTATGTTCTAAAATATATGAGTTTATATAACAATGAAATGCACTTAAATTTCTATAAGTGTAATTATGAAAAATTTCATGCGAATTGAATATAGAACGACCTCTCAACAACATGCATAGTCCACAATGTAATGTATAGGTTTTGAAATTTTGAGCTAGGGCAAAGACTTTCAAAATGAGATTTTAATGGTACGTTAAATGCTCCTGCAACATTTACAACCAACCTTGTACTACTTTCACCAGCTTATATTTACTTCTCTCTTCTACATTTTTTCTTTATATAATCACACACTCTCCTAACACCTTCAACTCACTCAATTCTTTCCATATATCTCTACCTGTCTCCTTTTCTATCACTATTTATCCTTATAAATTGGACTTCTCTTGTTAAGGATAAAGGAGATACTGAGAATGGAGATGAAGAGTAGCATGAGGAAGCCAGCTTCATTTTTCACATTGGCTGCTATGGTTGCTCTAATTTCTCTGAGTTTAGCCATGCCTGTCATGTCCACTATTGGTTATGGTTCTTACTCTCCTCCAACACCAGGTTAATTCCACTAATTAAATTAAATTACATTCTTGAGGGTTAATTTTGTGTCTGAAAGATTATGTGACAGAAAATGTCATTAAATTACATTCAAAAATGTCATTTTTGAAGTATAACAGTTTATTATGTGTGGAGATGAGTAACTTAGGTTGTTATATGTTTGCAGCTGGAGGTGACCATGACAACATTGACTGTAATACTCCCCCACATGGTGGTAGTGGAAGCAGCGGTTCTCATCACGATTCTCCCACTCCCTCTCATCACGATTCTCCCACTCCCTCCAAATCAACGCCTTCCAAATCTCCTCCTTCTGACCACCACGGCAGCGGTGGCGGAGGCGGTGGCTACTCTCATTCTCCTCCCCCGTATACCCCGACTCCGGTAACACCTGTGCCCGTCACCCCCACCCCGAAAACTCCTACCCCAACCACCCCCATTATTGTAAGCCCACCAACTGACCCTGGCACCCCAACCTATACCACCCCCACCCCTACCATCCCTACCCCATCATCACCCATTTCTCATGTCCCCACCACACCTACAGTTGGATTAACACCACCAATTCCCTTCATTCCATACACACCTCCATCAGTTGGAACTCCTCCTTTCACATTTAACCCTAGCTCACCCGGACCCTTTCCCTGCACGTAAGTACATACTTCGTTTAACCCTAAATATGTCACTATTAGTATCTCATTGTCAGTGATTGTGTCACTGTGCCATATGTCACTGTTACTAGCTTAGCAAAATGAGACGGTAAGACATGTAAAATGCCACTGTTAATATCTCACTTAATAATAAAGTGAAATGATTTAGACCACATATTTTTTTCTAAAAAAAGAAATGTGACACCGGGACAACCCAAAAGAGAAAGTAAGACATGTAAAATGAGACGATTGAATAATTCATATTATCTTTTATATCATGTGCTTGTAGATTCTGGAGGGCACACCCAACAATGATATGGGGATTGGTTGGGTGGAACGGGAACAGCGTCCGCAGCATGTTCGGGATGGGAAGCGGCACTGGCGCGGGAGGGTTCGGGGCAGGCATGAGCTGTCTGGAAGCGCTATCGAACACCCGCACGGACGGACTCGGAGAGCTGTACAGAGAAGGAACGGCTGCAATGCTGAACGCACTGTCCGGCGGCAGGAGCTTCCCTTACACAGCAGACCAAGTGAAGGTTAGCTTTGGGCGCGCCGCACTTAGCTCCAGTGACTCTGCTGCGGCTGCTCAGGCCAATCTCTTCAAGCTGGCTAACGAGGGACACCTCAAGCCCGCTGCCAGGCGTTAGGGTGCTATCCTATCAGATCATATGACTTTTAACTCCTTGGGGTTTCTTCACTTTCATGCATGCATTTTATTGTTATTAATTGATGTTGCTCTTAATTATTTCTCGCTATCAGTCTACGTGTTCTTAGGATGATGGTCGAATATGGTGTGGGTGTTTTACTTTGTTGGATCTTAATGTGACAGTACGAACAATATTCATTACTACGTATATTCAAACTAAAATATTTTATATCTTGCTATTTTGCCAATATTTGTCTCCAATATAATTCTGCATTTAGATGTTTGTGTTAAACTTGTTCATTCCTCCCAACTTTGGCATTTATTTATAACTTTTAACTAACCACCTCGAATAGAAATAGATCGATAATAATCCTGCAATAGTGCAATACCATAATTTAAATAAAAAAAAATCTCTTAGACAAATTGCACAAATATAGAATTATTATTATTATTTTCATTTTAAAATATGATTCATTCACTCCTACTTGACCAATTTTAAAAATCTCTTAGATAAAGTGCATAAATCTGATCAATCCAAGAAAAATTGTGCACTTTGTCTAAGAGAAAATAATATAGGTATAAAAGAAAAATGTTACTTTCCCTCTTTCTCATGATGTTCTTCAATTCTCATCATCTTTTTGGGATGTCTCAAAACTTTCTCCCATTTCCTTTTAAAGAAAGATTTAAGTTGTGTGATTAACAATTATATTATTTATTCACTTTTTCATACCTCAATCATACCTACTCCGTATTTTTTACATTATATTTGTTAATATATCAATTCTGAGTGGGAATATTAGATGGGAGGGAGTAGTATTTATTAAAATTAGTATCATAAAATATAAAATCTACAAAGGATAATTATATGTTGTTAAGTCAATGCCACCAAAATGGATCAGAAAAACATAACAAAACACCCCAAAAAAACAAATATATAGAATCTTGAAGTGTGACTCTTTCCCTGTAATTGGAAAAAAATTATGCTAGCTTTTAACTGAATTAAATAAGTCAATCCTTTTTTGGCAATAATATTTGGGTACTCTTATTTATCAACTTTGTCACTTTATTGTTATTTAGAGCAATTTCTTCAAAAAGAAAGAAGAATTGGGAGTAATAAAACAAGCTGATCTGTATGGGTGTATCTCCAAAAAGTCAACAAAAATCCCAATAAATTAAATACAAATAATGTGGTTGGGTTGTGGACAACAACGCACCTATAAGCTGTATCTTCAATGTTCTTTGAGAACGCGACCTTCCAAGTAGGAACTGTGCTTCAGGGATTCGCCACATGCCTAGCTTCACCGTCAATTGTGTACTTACGTTAGAAAAAACGGAGAAAACATAAGACAGAACAGCAGTAAACAATTGAGTATACGATCGATTTCACTTGGTAATTAATTACGTATTACTTACATTGTCGGATTTTTTTGGCGGAGTTGTATCTCAAATAGCAGATAGCTGAACTAATTAAATGTGCTAAATTATAGTAGTAATAAAACTTAATAATTAAATAAAGAAATAACTATATGAATACAACAAAAATACCTCTCTTAAGTGAAATTTGACAAATAATTCAGTTAGGAAAATATCTTCAACCTTAGTTATTTTGAATTAAATAATGTTGTATAAAATAGTTTATCGTATTTTGTGAAAAGTCATCGAGAAATTATCCATCATTCACAGTGACATGTTTCACGACGACAATGACATTTATTAGTGACATGAAAATATTATAGTGACATGAAAATTTTACATTGATATCATGTTTTTCATGAAATATGACCTTCGAATTGAAGTCAAATTTGTGTTCATAGATAAGAGTGATCACTTGTTTGAAAATAGACTTCAATTTAGTCCTACTTACTCTTAATTTCATTAAACCGAAAATTTTTTTTTTTTTTTTGGATAAACATGTAAATGTAATATAACCAAGAAGCTATTACACAGATTTAGGGGGCATACCCCCGTTTACATTTACCCAAAGCAATCAAGTATCTCAATCAACAATTCTCAAAGAACATCAAATTCACAAACAACAAAGCCTCAAAAAGTAATAAAATCTGGTGGATAAAGGCTATACAAAACCTTATAAGTCAATAACTTGATCTGAAGAAAAATTTCATTAGAAGGAGTAGCCTTTTTCTCAAACACTAGCTTGTTCCTTGCCTTCCAAACAGTATGAACTGTGCAGCACATGGCAATCCGCACTGCCTTGCTCTTGATTCTAGCACCGGCATAAAACTTCTTGAAGCATTTGACAGCAGCAGCAAGTGTAGTAATATGTTGCTTAACACCAAGCCACAAACATATATCATTCCAAATTTTCCCTATATTGGGGCATTGGAAGAAAAGGTGAGCTACTGTTTCAACATGGGTGTAGCAAAAGGTGCATGCTCTATCCATATCAATGTAACTCAGGTTTTTCCTTGTAGGGAGTCTATTCCTGAAACAAAGCCACACAGCAAAAGAGAATTTTGGGGGAATGTAGCTTTTCCAGATAAACGGCATCCAAGGTTTACTAGTGTTCTTGACTCTTAATATCTCATACACTTTAGAAGATGGAAGAGATCCATTAATACACATGCTGTTAAGCCCCAGAATAGTATCAAAGGGGCTGCCAAACAGAGATACCAAACAGTTCCTGATATTTGCAAATTTCTTCATTAGAGGAGAATCCCTAGGATTAGGAATCCATTCCCAAATAGACACCTCCTTAAGATAGATCTCATGCATCCATTTAACCCATAGTGTGTCTTTTTTAGCATGGATATTCCATAACGACCTGGCAAGAAGAGCTGAGTTCCACACCTTAATGTCCTTCAGCCCCAGTCCACCTTCTTTTTTAGGTTTACAAATATCACCCCAAGCCACTTTTGCATTCTTCCCCCCCCATAAAAATTGTCTGCAGTTTGATGTAATTTTCTCATTAATGGCCACTGGGATAGGAAAGCATTGCAACCAGTAAGATTGTGCACCTTGTATCACAGCTCTTATTAGCTCAATTCTTCCTGCATAAGACAAGTTTTTGGTCTTCCACTTTGATATAAATTTCTCGATTTTTTCAATGAGAGGCGAAAATTGTGCAATGGATACCACAAGTGGTGATAGAGGGACGCCTAAATACCGAATAGGGAACACACCCTCTTGAAATCCAGCAAGGGCCAAAATATCACTTTTAACTTGAGGCGAAACTCCTGCAAGAAAAACATTAGTCTTTTCAAAGCTAACTTTCAAGCCAGAAGTTTCCTTGAATTCATCAAGACATTTCATAAGTGTGTTGACTGAGAGATAATCTCCACCGCAAAACAGCATTAGATCATCGGCAAAAGCAAGGTGCGATATTCTCAATTTCCCACACCTCGGGTGGAACCTGAAACTTGGTTGGGCTGATTTAATACAAAGCAGCCTGGAGAAGTATTCAATGCACAAGAGGAATAATGCAGGAGACATGGGATCACCCTGTCTCAAACCCCTCTCCCCTTTAAAAAAATCATGCAGAACCCCATTAATGGATATAGAGAAACTGGCAGTAGTAACACATTCTAACACCCAACCTACAAACAAACTTGGAAAGCCGAAAGAAATCATGACCTCTCTTAAGAAAGACCAATTCACTGTATCATATGCTTTTCTGATGTCTACCTTTATCAAACACCGAGGGGATGTATTCTTTCTAGCATACCCCCTAACCAACTCCTGTGCCAAAAATATGTTGTCATAAATAACTCTACCTTCTACAAAAGCTGATTGAGCTGGATTTATAATTTTAGGCAGAAGGGGGTTCAACCGAGCAGCAAGAATTTTTGTAATGGTCTTGTAAATGACATTGGTACATGATATGGGTCTAAAGTCAGCAACAGTAGGGGCATGGTCAACCTTTGGGATTAAAGCAATGATGGTATGGTTGATTTGTTTCAGCAGTTGTCCAGAAACAAAAAATTCTCTTACAGCAGCAATGAAATCAGCACCAACAATATTCCAGTTTTTGATGAAAAAACCGGATGAGAAGCCATCAGGTCCCGGGGCCTTATCCTCTCCAATGTCAAAGAGTGCATCTCTAATCTCCTTATCATCCACAGGACTGGTTAAAATATCAGCTTCTTGCGCACTAATAGAGCTGCCACTCTGAATAACGCTACTATTTATGGGTTTACACGAGACACCAGTGCCAAATAACCCCTTATAAAACTTAACAAACTGATGGGATACTTCCTCGGAAGAGGTTGTAGGGTTGCCATTCTCTTTAATGATAAAGGAAATGGTATTTTTTGCCTTGTTTTTCTTGGAAAGAGAATGGAAGTATCGGGTACCTTTATCAGCCTGAACTAAGTGGGTCGCTTTAGCTTTCTGTTTATAGAAACTCCTTTCAGCCTCAGTGAAGAAAGCAGCTGCATCTCTAGCCTTATTAACATTGTCCAGTAAAAGCCTATTGTTAGGATCCAAGGCTAGAAGATCATGGGCAGCTTTAAACTCATCTTTTGCTTTTCTAGCCTTAGTAGAGATGTGTGCAAAGTCCTTATTATTCAGCATCTTTAGGGGAGCTTTGAGTAGTTTGAGTTTAGTACACAAGTTAAATTGATATGATCCATATGAAATCTGGTTCCAGACCCCAAAGAGGATATCTTTAAAATTTGGGTGCTTCAACCACATATTATAGAACTTGAATGGTCTAGAACCAATCTTCTCCTCATTTACCAAAGACATAATAACAGGACAGTGGTCAGACTCATCATCGAAGCTCAAGAAATCAGCCCTACAGGTCAATCCCTCCTCACCCCATTTTGGGTTAACTAAAACTCTATCCAATTTAGCCCAAGAGTGGTTCCTCCTCCATGTGAAAAAAGAACCAGTAGAGGGTGCATCTTCTAGATTTAAAGCAGCCCTACACTCCAACAGATCCTTCATGTTGTAGTCCAGAGGGGCACTACTACCCATTCTCTCCCTGCTGTAGCAAACACAATTAAAATCCCCAACTACAATCCAAGGGATACTAATGCATTGATGTAAAGTAGTGAGTTGATCCCAGAGTTGTCTTCTCTCCCGAACACTGTATAAAGCATACACTGGTGTGATGAAAAAAGACACCTGGGATATGAGGCATTTCACTCTAGCATGAATATACTGAGGGCCTGTACCAAGAATCTCACAGGAAAAACGAGAGGGGTCCCAGACCAAACTAATCCTCCCTCCTTCTATCTTATCAAAATTATTTGCTTGCTTCCATCCGGGAAGTTTATTTTCCAGAAACATCTCCAATTTATTTACATTAGCAAACTTTAACTCCAAAAGACAACTTATAGAAATTTTGTG